CGCCGCACACACGCAGGTATTTATTTTGTTGTACTTGTGTGGTTGTGTGGTTGTGGTTTGTGTGTTTGTGGTTGTGTGTTTGTGGTTGTGTGTTTGTGGCTTTGTGTTTGTGGCTGCTTGTTTATGATTGTGTTTGTGGTTTTTTCCGACTAGGCCGGATTCAGACAGATTCCCTGATTTTTTTGGGGGGGTCGATTGCCACGGGAACCACTTACAAAGACAACGTGCTACGTTGCGCGCTAGCACTTTTGTTGGATGTGTTCATATGCGTTCTGCGGCTGCTCTGGAATCATGTTTGGTGTTGATATTGCGCGCGCGATGATTGGACCGAGGTCTAGCTTAAAACCTATTGTTTGAGCGATAGGTGGTGGCCAATATTATACATTTTGTTGCGTCAGGAACTGCGGTCCTCCACTTTGCATCTTCCTTTCCTTCCCTGCCCCCCTGGCGTGGTGTTGCCTGGTGTATGCCATGCCTTTACGCGCATGGCCAAGACCCCAAAAAAATTGTTGCGCTTTGTCGCTCCGCACTGCAGCCGCAAGATGCTGCGCGTGAGCGAGCGGAGTAGATCGCGCTGGAACCGCCCCAGCATGTGGTACAGTGCTCCGCGTTTGGCCCCCTACTGACACCGTGTGCCAGAGGTGGGGAGGAACCTTTCTATATACCGATTGGCTTCGCATTGCGCCAGTTCGCACCCTCGCAACGCAGACCCCATGCCCATACGTTAAGTGGATTTCTGAATGCATTGATGTCTGTTGATGTGTTTTATATCACGAAAGGTAGCGGTTACGCTACCTGAGTTGTCTTTGCTTTAGCAATAATGTATTGGGGGTGGTGAAGTGGTCCGGTGCTTGATTTCGGTGGTTTAAGAGTTGGTTTCCCCCCGCCCCATTCGACTCCACCCTGCGCCGCGGAGAATTTCGTAGTGATCTGAGCAGAAGCAAGCAGCCAGCAGCAGCAGCAAATCAGCAATGCAGCAGCAGCAGTAGCAGCACAGCAAAGCAGAAAGCAGCAGCAGTGGCACCAGTGGCAGCAGCAACGACAGCAACCAGCAGCAGCAGCAACCAGCAGCAGCAGCAACCAGCAGCAGCAGCAGCAACAGCAGCAGCAGCAGCAGCAGCAACAGACATCAACAGACATGCAACCTAGTATGTTACCTTTCGTCCACCCCCGTCTCCTCAAGTTGTTTTATGAACCAACTGTGACCAATTGTGATTTCCATTTTTCGTTTTGACCTACAGCATGGGTGCCACGCCTTTGTTAACAGCAGCCTTGGCTCAAGAACGGGTGCTGACTTTGGCTGATTGGTTGGCATATGTAGGCGTTGACCATGCTCGAGCCGAAGCAAACACTGGGTTGGCCAAGTGCGGATGTTTCAAAGCGAGGGCAACATGCAGTACCCGAAGCCAGCCGAGGTCGCAAGTGTTTGGGGAGGCACACACGGGACGCCACGCAAATGGGCCACACGTTGCATGATTGAAACACATTGATTTGCAGGGATATTCCTCGATTAACTCATTTGTTGTGTCCGCACATTCGATAGTGGAATTTGCCCGGCAATGGGGCAATGCCAGTGCGGACCCATGGCAAGAAGAAAACTGACAAACCTGCAAAAGCTCCGAAAAGACGGGAGACGGGCACAGCCAAGCAGGAGGACATTTGGGTTGAGAGGATGATGTGTTTGGGAAACACGATTTTCATGGATTTTCGATGTCTATGAGTTTGAGCATAGGCCCGCGGTTGGCAATGCGGATGGTGGGACGGACACTTGTCGAGCCGAACGAATGGCGTCCCAAACAGGATGAACAACCGAAGAAAAAACAGTCTTTTCGCATTGGCCGCTTGCAGCTGGCAGTGGGAGGTGCTGCAGCCATCGGCGCTGGAGGTGCCTATTTGTTCCTCGCACCCGTTGATCCACATGATGCGCAGGGCAGACAGCGAGTTACTCCTTCGTTTCATGTGGTGCTGCTGTGGGCAATTCAGGCCGTAGAGTCTCAGGTTTGCTCCTACCAGTGTGGCCGCCACGTCTCTGAAATGAATACAAACTGTACGTAGTCTACAAATTTTTGATATGTCTCTCAACGTGCCACACTGCGTTTCCGCATGTTGTGCGGCAGGCAAGTTTGTCACATTTGTTGCTGCACTATCTGCGCTGAGGTTTTGGACGCTTTTGGCACCTGCAGTTGACCTGAGGCACAGACGGAGCTGGAGCGGCGTGCCCAAGTAGCAACGCAAACTAATTAATTCAGCAGACCACTCCAAACTCCACCTGCACAGAAAGGATACCTATCCAATCCATCAGAATCACAAGTATTGTGACTTGTGGGCCACTCGTTTGCTGTGCGCCCCTTGCCCTGGTGCAGGCCGAAAACCACGCGCGTAGTGGCATCGGAACCCAAAGTTGGTGCCTCAAGCTTTACTTTGGCTCACATGGTGCCAGGCTGCACCATGGAGCGCGGATGCTGGGACTGTGGACCGCGCAGCGTGTTGGATGGTGATCATGTATGATCATGTAGGATCACTTTTGTGACTTTATGGATTCCGTGATGTCACCGAAGCATGTTTTGTGGTACATGTGGTCAAGGGAGCAAAGCTTTCACTGGCAGGTTGCACAGTTGTCGAATTCATTCAAATGTCAACGTTGCATATGATCAACATGCATGGAAATTGACATTTGCATGTTTGATGGCTGATGATGCTGAAGTGACAATTCTTGGATGCCAATATTCCAAGGATACGCGAATCGTATCTTGGCTGACGTGTTTTGTTTCAGAGTTCTTGTGAAACATCTAAATTCTTTGGTGGTTTGCCACTCCTTGTGGCGAAAATTTACAATACAATGTGCCAGCCAACTTTGCCTACATCGCATGGAAGAGAAAAACTGGGGCAGTTCTGGCATGGTTTTCTTCCATACTGGGATGGCCTGGGGTCATTCTCTTCAAGTGGTTGTTGTTTGGCTGGTTTTTTGGTGGTGAAAGGATGCTTGCTTGCTGCTCAGCTTACTGCGCGCCAAAGATCGCAGTGCACGGATGCAGTAGTTCGCGACGGTCACACCCAAGACGAACACCTTAAGACGGAATCAAACAATAAAAAGTAGAAACCGAGTCATTGGCCTGCCATGCAAGTACACTAGTTTGATGTATATAGTCTGTATCACGTATTTCTTTGTGGTACACCAAGATTCAAACGAGCCAGCTGTTGCTGCTTTAACGACTCAAGGACGGCATGGATGCCCTTCCTCAGATTGGTTATTTTGGTGCCCCAGATGTGCCCAGGCCACATTATCGGTCCAGAACGCTTTGGTGTCTCATCGCCCAAAGAGTGCATGGGATACTGCCGGCAGTCCCAGTGCAACTGCTGGAGTTGGACACCTGGCTACAAACGACAAGCAAACGACAGACTGAAGGTACGGAGGCGAACATCCTCCCATGCCGAAAGATAGTCCAAACGTGAAACGTGACACTCATGACTCATGATGCTCTCTTCCACGTGTTCTTTGAAGTGGTCGGCAAAGCCTGAAAAGCTTGTCCCCATTCAATCTTATGCTAGCTGCCAAAACCGAAGTGTTAGTTGCTCAATGCTTCAAATCTCAAGTGCTAGCAAAACCACACCGACTGTATATAATAGTGTTATAGCAAGAACCCGGGCGACCATGAGGATCGACATGGTAAAAGGAAAGGGGCATTTGGCTAACCGTGTCAGCTGAAGGGACGTGAATGTGTGTTTCCCGTGTTTGCGCCACCATAGCTCAGGAAGGATGATGGTTTCTGTCGAACTGGCAAGGCAGAAAAATGCCATTCGGCAGCATAAGCAATTGGGGATATGCGGGGATGATGGTGTGCGGTGGGGGAGTGCGTAACTTACTGGCTGTATATAAACACTTTCAAGGAGCGAATCGCTGCTGCTGGCTAGAGTTTGATGCTGGGGCCTTGGGCCAAGCAACCCCGCAACCAATCGATGCGTGCTTGCTATTGCACTGGCGCAGTGTGAACTTGAGGCACATACATTGCGAGTGAGGATGATGACCGCTGGATGTATGGCTCTTGCAACCCAGAGCAGCGCACGCCAGCGCCAGTGAAGGTGGCACCCATGCCAGTTCCAGGGCCCCTCGTGCCATCACCAGTGGCTGCAAAGTTTGTGCCCAGACCAAGCCCAGCGCCTGTTTCAAAGCAAGGGCAAGGCCGGAAGAAGTGTCAAGTAGCTGCAGGGCTAGCTGGTTTTAGCCTTGAGAATTGAAGTGAACAGATTTGCTTTGTTTTGTGGATGTGTGCAGGTGTAGGTGCAATGGTCGCCAGTTCATCCTGCATGTTGACCAGCGCGAGGGGCCCCTCAATGCGCTAGAATCCCTGGTCGAGGTGGTAAGAATCTTTGACCAGAAAACAATTGCTCAATGGTGTGCAGGTGAAGGGGTCATGCCGTCGACTGCATCGCCAACGCAGTTAGCCTCCACGGAATTAAAGCCAGGACGAGCATCCCAACTCATGAACGGATATTGCAAAGCATTCAGGGGCAATCATTGTTCCGGGCCCAGGAATAAAACAGAGTCAAGCCTCTTACAAGAGGCGTGACAAGCCTGGACACACATATCAGCATATCACATTACACCACCATAGACCCCAAACAGGTGGGACAACAAAGAAGCATTCCCAAGTCCATATTTTTGAGACATGGAAAAAGTAATACACAAAATTGACGTTAATTTCTTTTCGAATTCTGTTGTAGTGACAATAGCAATATATTGAAACATGACCAACAAAAAGGAGGACAAGAAGGGATACAAAAGGACACAGAACGGAGACAACACGCGCACAATGACCAACAAGAAGGGAAACAAGAAGGGAGACAAAAGGAAACAGAAAGAAGACAAGACGGACACAACAAGGGAGACAAGAAGGGAGAAAGGAAACAGAAGGGAGACAAGACGGACACAATGACCATCAAGAAGGGAGAGACAAGAAGGGGGAGAAAAGGAAACCGAAGGGAGACAAGACGGACACAATGACCAACAAGAAGGGAGACAAGACGGACACAATGACCAACAAGAAGGGAGACAAGAAGGGGGACAAAAGGAAACAGACGGGAGACAAGACGGAGTGACCAACAAGAAGGGAGACAAGGCGGACACAATGACCAACAAGAAGGGAGACAAGAAGCGAGACAGAAGGGAGACAAGGCGGACACAATGAAAAAAGAAGAGAGACAAAGGGAAACAAGCCGGACGGAAGGCGGACACGCTCTCCCGCAGCAAGGCGGACATTCTTACAAAGCATTGAGAACCCCTAACAGTATCCTGCTTGGCTGCTTGGTGAAAAAAAGAAAGAAATCACCTGGCAGACAAGTGAGCAGAAATGCTGGGTGGCCAGCGGAAAAGAGCGGACGCCAGCAGTGCAGGCACCGAACCTGGGAAGCAAAAGTACAGAAGTCAAGAGACAAATGAATAGAAATGCTGCATGGCCAGCGGAAAAGGGCGGACGCCAGCAGTGCAGACACCGAACCTGGGAGACAAAAGTAAACAAATCACATGGGAGACATATGAATCATGCTGCATGGCCAGCGGAAAAGGGCGGACCCCAGCAGTGCAGGCACCGAACCTGGGAGACAAAAGTAAAAAAATCACATGGGAGACACATGAATAGAAATGCTGCAGGGACCGAACCTGGGAGACAAAAGTCAAGAATTCACATTGGAGACAAATGCATAGAAATGCAGCGTGGCCGGCGGAAAAAAACAGACACCAGCAGTGCAGGCACCGAGAAGAACAGTAAACTGTTTGGTGAATAACTTAACATACCCCCCTTAAGCACCTCAAAAAAGTAAGTTACATTTCAGGGTGGGCCCCTAGGGGGTACAAAAATGTAACTTACCCTTCCCCCAGGCACCATCGAAGCGGGTAAGGGCGGGGGTCCAAAAGAATGGCCTGGCACGTGCTTACTTACATTTTACCCCCCCAGGTTGCGTCGGCAGATCCAAGGGCTGGGGGGGGTTTGGCAAATGTAGCTTGCAACCTGGCATGCCTGAATTTACTTTTTTCCTCCCCCCTAGGGTGCGTCGGCAGATCGGAGGGCTGGGGGGAGTGAACAGCAGTTGGAACAGCAGTTGGTCAGAGTCATCATCAACAAAGAAGAACAGCAACACATACACAAAGCAAGACCCAAAAGGAAGGATGCCAAAACAAAACCCACACATAGCAGAGCATAATCTTTGCTATGTTGTTGCCCTGTCTGCTTGTCCTTTGCTAGAAAGCAAAGATGAAGGAACAGCAGTTGGTCCGAGTCATCATCAACAAAGAAAAGCAGGAAACACACCCAGGGCAAACTGCCAAGAAACAGTAACATACATGTTCCCACTCAAGACCCCAAAGGAAGGCAACAAAGCGAAACCCAAACATAACAGAGGATCATCCACATGCTACGCGACAAAAGAAGGGTCATTCTAATCTCGCACAGCTGCCTGTTCTATTCTGCAGGAGAACAAGGATATTCAATGCTGTTTGATCCCCTGGTTGCTTGCCCCCTGCTTGCGCTTCGTGGCGTCGCTGGTGTGTGATTTTCAGTATGCAAAAATGTAAATAACTCAGGGGGACACCCCAGTTCCTTGTAAATTCTGGGGGAGTTGGGCATGTTGCAAAAATGTAAGTTACAATTTGTGAGGTCAAACTTTCTCACATAACCCAGGTATTCCCTGCAAAATCTGAGGGTTTGGATGCGTGGACTAATTGTAAGTTACATTTTTTGACGTTTGCAATCTCACCTTTTGCCTGCATCCTGAGACAGCAAGACAAAATCAGACAAACACAGGCTCAGGGGGGGGTCAAAAAATGTAAGCGCCCCACCGTGCCTCAAAAAAAACAACTTACATTTTTGAGATCATTTCCCAGGAAATCACCCATGAGGCCGCAAAATTGTAAGTTACTTTTTTTTGAGGCCACCTCAAAGTTAATGTAATTACATTTTTTGAGGCCTTCAGCATAGGAAAATGAAACTTACAATTTCCGACGTCCCCCCTCAGGAAAGGGTAGTGATTGAATAACAAAGAAACTTAATTATATTATAGGCGGCTGATTTAATTGGTGCTGTGCACATTTGGTAATTAGGTGGCGTGCTACATTACATCAGCATATCGTAACAAGTTTATGGAAGTTTATGATGTTTGAACCGTTGTTTTGTTGCAAACTCATCGCCGTTTTTCCCCATTGCCCATCAGCTCAATTGCTACAGGAGCTGAAACCGTGCTGCCTGATACGTCCAAAGCTGATTCATCAGTTTGCCCAGTGGCTTTGAACGCAAAAAATTGGGGCGGGCACTTCGCTAAGACCTGACAACAATTTGCCTTCAAGATCCTTCAAAAAAGTGGTGGCCATGTCACCGCGCACTGACACGGATTGCACTTATAGATGGAACGATGCATGAGTTTCCCGGGTATCAGTTTCCAATGCTGGGCAGCTTACCGAATCACTGACACAGATCAAATTCCTCTCCACATGTTGAGAGCGCATACGCAGAAATATCAATATATATATATTTACTATATATATATAATATACATGCGAAAGATACAATGCCGTGAAATGAGTACTCTAGCTTGTCTATGTGGGACACTGCGAATCAATGACACGGTGCATCAGGGTCGGCAAGGTGAGTTATGTTGCTAGTTTACTTGATGAACCTTCATGATACAGCACTTGGTCTTGCAGACGCATCCCACTCACCTTCATGGCCCTCGGCCAAAACAGCGGGCCTCAAAGCAGCCACTGCAGTCCATTTCAAACCATGCTGTGCTGGGCTGGCCATGGCCCTAGGGCCTCGCGAGAAACCAGGTGCTCCTCATCACTCACCAGCGCGCGGGGTATTTGCAGCGTGCCCTACAATCAATCTTCGAGCATCGGGTGAGGCCTGAGACCAACCCCGTCATTGCATCACAGGACCGGGAATATAAATACTGACTGTGTTTTTTAAAGTTGCTGACGTTATTTCATTGTGGGTTCACCTTGGTTGTGGAGCTCTTAGGTAGGTCAAGTAGGCAACTCCATCAGCAGGATTGACCGAAGCCCCTCAGATTGGAAATGCCTAGTCATCATGCCGACAACAATCTTGCTGCACGGCATTCTCATAAAGACCAGCCAACTCGGATTCTTGCTATATAGATTGTAGCGCCATAGGCAGTGGTGATCCCTGTGGGAGAAATAATTAGCTGGTGGCCAACTTGTGGAGAAATGAACATGTATTGAAGTCAAGGTGAGGATGAAATGCCGCCTGTCACTAGAGGATGGCGACAACGCGGATGTTCGGTCTGTTTTGCAGAAGTACGAGGCAAGTTCGTCGAGGGTCGTGGCCCGCCACGTGCACGCTTGCAAAGATGCCCCATGACCATCGAGAAAACCTTTCCTTTCAAGCATTGCAATGGAATGGATAGGGGCCTTGGGACTAATTAGTGTCAGAGTGAGCTGTTAATTGAGTTGGGTAGAGGTAGCTGCTGATCATTCTTTCGTCATTGTCATTGACTATGCCGGCTGCCTTGCCATTTGTGCTTCCTGATGGTAGGCCACAGGCCAGTTGAAGTTCCTTCAGTTTAGTCCCAAGACGCTACCTGGGCCGCAATGGTTTGTCATTCCCCGAATTGGGTTGCAAGTATATATTACAATATATATATACTTCTTTATACTGCAATACCTCCTCCACTGCTTCACCACAGAGCGCAAGGAAATATGAAAATAATTGTGCTCGCTCGGCCCCTGAATCCTACTCGAACTTTGATCTTGGCTTAAGTGCTCTTCTACCAGGCTACCCAAGTTGGGTTTGCTACTTGAACACCAGCCTGCTCCACCTAGAAACCTCATGTTGAGAGCGGGTGTGGTTTCTTCGGTGCCAAGGTTCATGCCTACTGGATACCAACGCCTTTGCGCTCATTATGGTTGGGCTTTCTCTCAGATCTTCGACGTTCTAGGACATGGCAATCAGTTGTGAAGGATCATGAGCTGGCCCAAACGATTGAGATGGCTTGGAACGATGTTCGAGATTTGTACTGTTGCGTGTTGAACTGACAACCTACAATGAGCCGGAAGATGCAATAATGATATACTTGCTCAGTCGGTCCGTTGGTCGCTCCTGGATACACTCACACCATCCAGGTCTCGCATTGCTGACTCCGGATCATGTGAAGCGTCCCCAATGCTTCAAGGATTTGTGTGAAGTCTGGTGACATTTTTTGACACCATGGCAGGATATGAGCAAGCCATTGTCCTGGAAGAGGATTTAGATGCTCGGATTGTTAGCACGGTAGTGGTGGCACGTGGCTTTGACCCAGGCCTTTGTACACTCACATGACATGCTTGCCACAATGTGCTTGAGCGAAAAGAAGAACAATTTTTGATTTATCATATTACAGGTATGCACACACATATATATATATAACTATAGTATACAGTATATATGTATTTATATATTATGTGAAAGTGGATATTTGTTCGCTTCACCATTCTGAGCTGACCATCCATTGCCTAATCTTGTACATGTCACACGATGTCACAGGTTTAAGCGGAGCATTGTGTTTGTTTTTAGCGGAGCTGTTGTGTGTGTGTGTGTTGAAAAATGCCTAGGAGATTGCCAGCGATTTCTTCTCCTACTTCCAGGCTTTCACGCTCTGACATGTTCGGGCTCATGGAGTTGTTTGGTCAAACAGTGGCTGGTCAGGGTTTTCCGTGTTTTGGTGCACGAATTGAATGCCATTGAATGCCCATGACCAAAGGGATCAACCGGAACTCCCCTAGCCTGCGGGTGCCTCGACGATGACTATGTGAGGCAACCTTGCCATTGTTGCGATCTGACTCCAACCTTTTCTGTGTGTCCGCTTGGAACGACAATGGGAAACCGGAGCTGGCGCAGAACAGCACTGCCATCTACAGAAGTGATTCTTGACTATCTTGACTTGATGTCATGGAGAGTGTGGAGGTGAGGCCTTCAGTCAGAGGTAGAATGCCAATGGGTATCGCCAGTTCTTTGGCCACGCATCCTGCCGCAGTCCTTGGCTCCGAGGATTTCTTTCCTGGACTTGGCTGGATGCTTTTGCGGAGCTTCTGGAGCGAAGTCAAGAAGAAATGGCCAAAAGAGAGACTTAGCAAATGTAAAGTTCCCTAAATATCTAGGAACCAAATGAATATAGTGTGAGCGCTTCCTTGAAGAAGCGTGAGCTATCCTGCGTCCTAGCTAGGATCGAACTTCTCCCTTACGTAAAAATAATTGTAAGTAGGCGCCTGCTTAGTTAAGTATGGAGGCAGGGGGCCCCTACGGGCTCTAAAAGAAAGAGATACGACTTAGCACAGCTTAGCGGAGCAACAGCTTGGACGACGACACGCTTGTTCCCAAGGTATTGGGATGACTTCCTCCGCCGCACAGATATTCGCTCCTTGGATTATTTTTGCCCGCCCAGTGACCTTAAACTTGCTATCTGCCTGTAGAATCAACATTGACCGTGAAGTGCTTTTGCCGTTGTTGAAGAGCTGGCGGCTTCCTACACAGGTCACTCACAGGTCCTGGTCATTTTCCAAACAACATCATTCCAGCACTACTCCAATAATGTGACCTGGCTTCCAGTTGTGAGTGCTACCATAGTCGCCTGTTTTTGCCAAATATCCGTTTTGGCTTCTGATTCCCATGCTCAATCCAACTGACATGATGTTCTATTGAAACTTGGAATCTTCACCTAGAATCTACGCCAGGTGGGTTCATCTAGTCGCCATGGCTTTGCCGCAGCCACCTCTTTGAGGCCTTGAACGGCAGTGCTTGAGGCCTGAGGTGAGCCGCACGTGACCTGACCGCAGATGCGCGTACTTGTATCACGGAGGCTCAGAAGGCATTGACGTCACCAAAATGTATCAACACCTGGTGGCTATTTTTTGTGCTGGGCCATGCCCTTGAAGTATCAGAGCTTTGAGTGCTCCAAGCTGGGTTGACGTGAGCATCCAAAAGCCAACTGCATGCCAAGCGCAAAGAATGTGCCGCAAGACGCTATTTGATGCAAGTTGTTTGAAACCTAATAGCGATGACGTCCAACCTAGAAGCAATGTGATTCCTTCAAAAGATTTTTTTATCAAAATAAATAAATATATATATACTGTGTATATATATATATGTGTGTGTGATTTCTATGTTGAGCTTCTTAGGCAGCGCACCACAAGCTGCAAGCTTGCCAGCTTTTTTGGTGCAGCGAGCTGAGGCATACCTTCGGAGAGAAGGGAGTCTCACGCGGGCAATACTACAAGGCGTAGCTTGCCCAGTTACATAGCTTCCGGAAGCAATGATAGAACTGATAGAACTTCAATTATTGAAATGATAATGAGGCCAACAACCACTGGAATGCCTGGAATGCTAAGGCATTTGGTCTCCAATCACTTGAATGAGAAGCCCGTGGACTGGACATCAATGAATCTCAGTCATGTTGCGACACCTGCCGCATTCGATGCTTTCCTCACACAACAGGCACAGCGCTGTGAAGAACATGCCGTGGGTGTTTGAACCAGACTGATCCCTTCAAAACGACTGTCCATCTCCCGCCCGCAAACCATACACTTGCTTCGTGCTCATATGCGTAATTAATTACTCAGCTGAATCGACTAATAACATATATCAAAATGAATGTTTTGCTCGACCCCCCACCCGGACCCCATGGATCAATTAATTCCGTGCTAGAGGGTTTCAGTGCAGCTGGTCGAAATGGCATGTATGTATGTTTTGAAGTTGGACCATGTTCAAGTTTGAATACATTAAATGGCTTTTGACAAAGTCAAGGTGTATATATATATATATACTGTTGTGTACATCTCAATGTTTTGCGCCGCCGAAGAACGATTCCCGAATCCACAGCATCAACAACTGCAGTTTCCGCACTCAATGCACTTGAATATAAAATATTGTGGCGTTGTTTGATATTCCTTGCTGTTGCTACATGAACCTTGAGCACCACGTGTTGTTTGCATGGAAGATCATGGAAGCGTGTGAGACACATCATATCATGATACAGTGAGGAACGTCGGGAAATGATGGGAGATTTCATTCCTCGAATGGTCCACGGATCTCACGGGAAACGCTGCGAACAGGTGAATGCTGCAAAGAAATTCCGGTTCGACGAGCTGGAGAAGGTTGCTCAATTCGACCAACCAGTCGCTATTCGATATGATGACAAGCAGTGGAAGACACTTAGCAGGCAATTCAATGGCTTGCCCTCAGGAGTCTAACCGTGCTTTGTGCCGAACAGTTCGCGTTGGGAGCACGCCTTTGCTGCCAGTCTCTTCCACACGAGGGTAATGGGGGGGATGCTGCTGACAGGATGCTCGCTTGCCATTTCGGTGGCCAACAACAACCACCGTATGCACTTGTTCTGCCTGCATGTTCTTAAGGAGGGTGGCGCATCACTTTGGCTTGATGGAGGACGACAAGGCTTGGATGGACCTCAGATGGCGGGATCCGTGTCGTCAACATACCAAAAGTGTAGTCAACATGCCAAAACGATTTTCGGCGTCTCAAAGCAGAGTTGCCACGCGCGGAAGAAGACGTCGGGCAGCCAATGCAGAGCCAGAATATCATTTGAGAACAATAATAGAAAACATATGAAAACACAAACCAGTTGGACAAAGACCACAGCAGTAGCACAATTGTCGGTTGCACACCCTCGTCAACGTACACAGATATTTACAGCCTTCGGCATGCCGCCGGCCACCAGCTCGAGCCCGCATTGGCAGGCAGCTTAATGATACAATACCCTGCTCAATCATACTTGTTGGTGGGGAGGGGGGGAGGGGGGCGTCAGGCTGTCGAAAAATCCGCGCGGAGAGACAAACCGTAGATTGAAACCAACACAATCAATACTAACCAAAACAATCCACAAAACACGCCGGCAGGCCGGCGGATTTCAACGTAGCAGACGCCAACAGTCGCAGCACCAGAGCAATATCAGAATTGCCGTTGCCAGCACCTTTGCAACGTACAGGCAAACATTGTAGGGTAGCGCCAGCACAGGGCAACAGAAGGACAGCAATGTCGCAATCCCCGCTGCCACAACTTCAGCGACGTAGACACCGACAGAGCACCAGCAACAAACTCGCAGAACCTGCAGGACCACCGTGTTTGCAAGAGCCTCGTCCACATGCACCCAGATATTTGCCGGTAGCACCAACAAAGACTTGCCGAATCCACGGAAGCACAGAAGTATCACCATTGTCGCGGCCACAACCTGCTCAACGTACACGCACGGCTTTCACCGTAGCAAAAGCACACAGTGGCAGACTCTGCAGGATGAGAGCAAAATGACAGTTGTATACAATTGTGGTTGTAGACGCCGTCGAGGTACACCCAGATATTTCACAGTATCACCAGCAAATAGAATCCACAACAGCACTGAAATATCAAATATCGCAATTAGCAAGAGTATATAACAAGTGGCAGGGCACTGGCAGACTCTGCAGGATGGTGCAGGATCAGAGGAAAATCACAATTATGGTTGTAAGAGCCTCGTCGTACACACAGATATTTCACGGTAGCACCATCACCCCAACCCCCAACCCCACCCCCTAACCCCCCCAAACCCCTAAACCGTAAAACCCGAAAGCCTGAGGGTCAAATGTCGCGAATTTGACCTCGATGCTTTCTCTGTATAAACTCTGACTGAGCTCGGTGGCGTTAGGGTTGGGGCGATGATGAACACTGGTGGTGATGAACACTGATGAACACTACGTGTTCATCACCACCCCAACCCCAACCCCACCCCCTAACCCCCTAACCCCCTTCCCTAAACGCTAAACCGTAAAACCCGAAAGCCTCAGGGTCAAATGTCGCAAATTTGACGCGTCCTCAGTCGGCAATCAGGCGCCTTGTCCGCTCAGATGGCCTCAGCCAACCAGAGCCATCACAAACACATGCAGAGACCCGCTTCGGCCTGGGCATTTGATGTTATGGATGGACCGATGGCAAGTGACGAAACATTCATATTATAGTGGAGCTGAGCTGTGCGTAAGTCATGAGCCATGTCCGTTTAGACCAGCTGCCTGTCCATGTTGTCCCTCAGGGTTTCTTTCCGCAGCATTAGTCGGGATTAAGACAACATTTCAGGCGTGGAGCCTAACAAATCTTCACATCTCTAATTGAGCCATTATGAAATAATGTTCTAAAAGGGTGCCCAGTTGCCAGCAGCCCTGTCACTCGAGGCTGGCATCCGTCGGGGCAGCTACAAAGGCGTGCTCCCCTTCACTTGGCATCAGCAACCCGCATATTTGGTGCGGGATTGGCCGATGGTCTAGTGCAGCACAAAGGAAAGAAAGTAGCCACGGGCCGGGGGGGACGCCAAGGCGGCTTGCAAAGAAGTTGTCCATTGCTCCAAACAATTGAGGAGAACCATCAGCAACTAGCAACCAATGGGGGGCTGACTATGCTGATAGCATGAAGTGTAGTGTGAACAGGCTCATTGAAGGAATATACTGATATATTGTATAATTACAGACCCCAGCCATGAGAGGATAGGTGGTGTCCGACAAGTCCGTACCTAACATGCCTCATCGGCCTGGACACTTGGCCCTCACTTCAACGCGAATATGGCATGTCACAGGCAGAGCCTTGCTCTTTGCTTCAGCTGGCTGTATTCCAAACTTTCTTTGGCGTTCTTTCATGTTCTTTCCTAAACTTTGCCAAAGAAAGAGATGTGGCTGGGCATGAAGTCTGTGGCAAAGCTTATTGAAATGCTGCGCAGGCTGACCTTTTCGCCGACTTAAGTCTTGTTCAACCAGCCTGCGCGCGCTTTGGGTTCACAGAATGTAACCGGCTTCGAAATCAGAAAGAAAATATTCAAGACAAAATATGCGTATCATTGTAATTGCCACTTTGACGTTCTTTTTAGGGCACCTTTTTGGACTGGTTTCATGGAAGATTGCGGCCTTCCAGGCCAGATATATCATTTTAGCAGACATTTACCAGAACTATATAATACTGTAGGCTTTTCCCGTCGCCCAAATGTGTAATGAATGATCATGTTGGCTAACACGAGCTTTCCCCGCAGCCATTTGGCCCAGAAGCGACGTGTGATGCCCGTATAGTTATTGTGTGCCCGTCAAGACGCAGTGAAAGAGGTGGGTGCCTGAAGTCTTGGAAATGGTTGTGGGGTTGTGGCTGGGCGTGTCAATGGGGCCGCAATCAGCCAGTTTTGCCGGTCAAGACTTGACCGTTTGGGTCTTGTGATGTATTGTGATATGAAGGGCATCAGTCCATATACCCCGGTGAAACTCAATATAATCCAAATCCAAATCCAGGTGCTGTTTAACACGGGCCGCTCGAAAAAGTGACATTTCGGAGGAAACGGGAGAAACAAGTCATATCCGGCCTCGGGCTAACATTAACATTAACATAGACCGTCCCCTCTCTCAGGCCATGGTCCGATTTGGTACTAACATAGGCTATATACTATAGACAAATCGCAAGCTGGCATATCATATACAGCACGAAACCGGTGAAGTCTGACATAGGCCATGCCACATCATATGGCCATTTTGTGTCGGTGTGGAATGTTAGCTTTCATGAGTGCCATTATGTAGATGTTTTGCATAATGATGGTGAATAGTGCAGCGATTGCAGACTGGAGTACGAAACGGGTTAATTCCTGCTATTCTCCACCCACTGGACTTTGCAGTTGCTACTAGGAACAAGTGCATCGCTAGTAGTAACAAGTGCCTTACTAGTAGTAACAAGAAGCTATTAGAAACAATAAGTTCAGACCCGCCAGTCCCAATTATGGGCACAGGCTACCACTGGCTAGAATGGTGAGTGGCCCAGACCAGAACCCCTTGAAGAGCCCAAAGGAACAGATATGACTCGGGCAGCCGAGAATAAAGCAGCAGAGTAAAGTCATTTGCCACCCAGACAGAAAACCTCCGTCAAGGCCCTCAGTAGCCCAGATCAGCCCGCTGCAAGGCTGGTGCCACTAAGATAGCCAAGAGTAGCAAAGATCTACTGTACTTTGACAAACGTTTCAGAGGAGCGTGGGGAGTAGCTTTGACATGCTCCGACATGCTCCGACTAATGATTCGCAAGGTTTGCACCTCGGAATGGCCCCGAGCAGCTCAGAGTACAATCTCTTGAGTGGCTCGAAGCGAAACAATGTGAAACAGCCCCGAGCGGCCTTCTAGATAGCCTGAACCGAGAAAGTAAACCCTGATTCTCCATTGGTACGATTCGGGGGTTGCTAGGTTTGAAGATTGCCACTCTTCCATTTGGGCCCCGCCTTTTCCATCCGTGGGCGTTTTTGCTCCAAACTCGCACCAGATTCTTGCTAGTGTGATGGCAGGTTCAACTTTCCTTTTGGGTGGGAGTTGGGGAGCTATTTGACCGTCTAAAGTGCAGTTTTTACTCCAGCAACTTCGTCATGCTAGCACTCCTGGGGGCCAAACACATGTACCGTGCAAGGGTTTCTAATCTTATGACAGTACGTGAGTCCCGAGGCATCCCGAGGCCATCGCTATTGGGGTCGAGGCCATCGCTATATAGTAGGTTGATATTGGGTGAGTCCCAAGGCATCACGAGGCACTAAAGATTCATGTCAACAAGCTTTGGGTCATTGAGTGCCAGGCGCGCGCTTGAACCTGCGCCTTCACACAATTGACCTCATGGCGCCCGTACAGGACTGGTAGAAACATATCGCGATCCTCGTATTGAAAACCACATGTGCAGTATGGAAATGCTTCTATGTCGGTAGGAGGTACTTTGGCTTGTGCTAGGATGTGCTAGGTATATAACACTATATATATAGTATTATATACAATGTCGTGCAGATGTACCATTCCAATCCCCTTCCGGCCGGGGAATTGAATTGCTTCGCGAGGAGCGCTCTCGTTGCTTCAATTTCAGCGCTGGCCCCGCAATGCTTCCGGACCTGGTGCCATGAGGGTTGGGGTGAGGCGTCGAGGGAGAATGAGGGAGATACCAGGCCCACCAAGCGGCGCTTCTTGTTCCTAGTAGTAAGGCCAGGAGCCCCTAGTAGCCTCCTTGCTCCTAGTAGCGATGCGAGGAGCCCCTAGAAGCTTCTCGTTCCTAGTTTCCCAGGCTGTCAGGCCGATTTTATGAATGTGCAACTCAACAACCACACCACTCAGGACGGAAGGTGAGAAGGCCGCCCAGCACGCCCAGCACAGCCCCAGCCATCAGTGCCGGAGTCTCCCCCAGGACCCCTCCAGGTCCGAAACCCGGGACACGCAAGAAGTGCCTTCAAGGGCCAGTGACCCCCACGGATCACAATCGACCGCATGGAGACCAAACGGCCTCGGCGACCTCTCAGACATCCTCATGATGGCAGGTTTGGGCAAGCCTGCAAAGCTGAGAGATGTGGCCTTTGTATGCCTTTGTCGCTCGCCCCACGCGACACCGCATGGTGTCCTCACTGCGCATTTTTGAGAGAACAGGATCGCGGGATCAAACACCCGTTGACTGTCAAGGATCAAGGTCTTTAGAGTCGTTCAGACCCACGAAGACGTACACGTGCGGCTCTCTTGAGTTTGGGACTAACAGGTGCGCTTAGGCGCCGATGGGTGCCACCGGCGCATCCAGGGGAGGGCTGGGCTACCAAAGCTGTCAGCACTCGCATTTACTCCCGATCTCGTCGACACTGTTACATAATCATGCGTCGGTTGGACAAAGCTGGCTGTGGCTCAGCCGAGCTGTACTGGATGCAGCCAAACACTGTAATACCAGTGCCAGGCGTTTGTGGACGGATCATGACGGACCAGCTACTGTACCCCTGGCGCAGCGAAGGTCCAAGCAGGCCTGACAGCAGAGACGCAGCCCGGCAAAATAAGCGCAGCAAACAGGTGGCAATGGAAGGGCCACTGCATCCCCGAGCAGTACTTGCATTTTGGTGGCTCCTGCGCGACATTAAAGCCAGCACCATACACAGCGTGCATGAGGGAGAGAACTCATGGATCCGCTCTGACTCCACTCTTGAGATTCTATGAGAGTTCCCATTTCTTCAAAGTCATTGTTTTCACATCCGTAATGCAATTTGCAATCATTCACGGGAGTAGCCAACTCTTTGGGCGCTAGGCAAGGCTCAGTGTTTTAAAGTGCCTGGCCCAAGGAACATTTTGGAACCCGCTGCCCGTGCTGAGTTGGCACAAATTCTGAAAGCCTGCTCCGAGTTGAAGCCAGCTGCCTTTGCAATCAGCGCACAGTCCATTGAATGTTTCTTGGGCTGTGCCACTACCTTTACCGCCCTCAACAAGGTACTCGTACGTGGTCAACCAGCATCCTCGGGCTGGGGAACAATATTTTATCATTGTAGCACGTGTGCCGCACAAAGTGTCATTGGCCTTTGCACAGCGCCAGGCCGACTATGACAGAGGGGACGCTCTCCCGGATCAGCCACAATGTGCCAAATGTGTCCAAATGTTTCAAATCGCCCGCAGAACAGACTAAGTCGGGAGAGCCCTGTTCTTCAACTTCATCCGGCAGTTCGGAACACGTGAGGTGGGGTCAAAATAAGTGTAGACTACTTTAGTCAGGAGAGGTCGATGTGAATGGCTTAGGGTGAGGATGTATTGGAAACCGATAAGGTCCCCCCCAAAACCGATAACCTATGATAACCTATGTATGATGGTATTTATTATCATTTTTGACAGATCCTTGCGGTACCTGTTGCATGTCAAATGAAAGCCCCACTGACAGTACCCTAGTGGGTGGCTTCAGCCATATGATATGGAATCAATATTTTTGTTGCTGTGTTGTTCTTTTTCTAATCTGCAGCCTTTCATTGAAAAATCCGGATTCTATGTGGCCACTACGCCGATAACGAAACCGATAACTCGCCGATAACCGTTTGGATATGTTTTCAGCTTTCATAGCCCTTTGCCCAGAGCCTGCTGACGAGACAGCTAAATTCCCTATCGAAGACATTGCTCTAGCCTTTCTTCTTGAGAACTTACGTGTTAGTATTTTACATCCCAGCAAACAGAAGGCCGATAAAGATTAAGATAGAGATAGGTACGCCAAATTTCGCAAACCCACTCGAAATTGCAATGCTTTTGTCCGCCGCTGACAAGCGAGCTGTGAACAAGCTCATCCATTGCTTCTGATTTCAGCGAGTAGGTAGCTCCGCTTCATGCATCCACAATGTAAATGCGAATGCCAAAAGCATCTGATTGAACAAAAAGCTGAAAACCGATAAGGTCTCCCCCAAAAACGATAACGATAAAAAACATAATTGATTTTGACCGTGGCTCACGTGAGAAATCGCAAGATGGATCAGGTTGGCACAAGGCTCAAGTGGCAGGGATCCTGTCTTTCTGAGTTTGGTGGCCAAAGGTCTCTTAGCACGAAGATCTGTCAATGTGCGCCAACCGTTTGCAAAAGGTCCTCTCCAGGAACTTGTTTGTTTGGCTTGGAGCATGTTGAGAGACTGTTTGAACCTTCATGTGTGTGTGTACACGGCCTAGTGCTTTGCAGCAGAGTCTGTGCTATTGCTTTACTACGCATGGAAAGTCAAAGAGATTCAAAGAGCAGCTGGGCCAAACAGCCAAACAACCAAGTTTTCTTTGCATTCATGCTGCAAGCTGATACGCACATTCCTGAAAATTGAATCCACATGTGAGATATGCCAATCCGGCAATCATGTTGAGTCCCTTTCCATGTCGTTGCGCAAGTAGGTTCTGGATAAGATTGTTGGGGAGCTGGGCGACTACGATGGCATCTTGGCACGCAACTAATGCTGCGAGAAACAGGAAGAGGCCTAACTCAAACATATGACCAGGACCAGGTTTGCGGCAGCGTAGCCTCTCCACGAAGCAAGACACAAGTGACCTTCATTACCCCGTGTTACCCTCATTCCTGGCTTTGTGTTCAAATTGGTTGCCACCTCTATCTTGAAACCGTTGCTGGTTTGTTGGTGGGTCACATTGGTTGTTGGCTAATAGTTGCGGATAGCTAGTTGCCGAGGCTTGGGGATGAGCATCTTGGAAATGGGGCACCGAGACGCCGGTGGGCCAGTTCAAGAAGTCTTGCAGGAGGCGCTGCTGATGAGTCGGCTTGGTGGCGCCTACCACATTAGCAGTGAAAAGTCTAAGTGGAGCTGAAACTTCGAGACCAGGAAGATAAAGTTCGGACCCACGAACCTGGAAGGGATTGCTGGGACCACTGCCTGCAGTTGGCTAGCAACTAACTACAGTGAGCGGCTTTAACATGCTTTAACTATTTTCTTTGTACATGTAAATTTATATGTGTGTTTCTTTTGTTCGTGTTGTTTTGCGGCTGATCCTTTCCATTCTCAACCCATACTTTGAAGGTTATGATGCCTCAACCAAGAATGAAAGTCGTTGGGTCAGGCTCTTGCTTCTTGACGGGGAGCACTCATTGTCTACGATGAAATGTTAGAACTCAATTTGCATATCGAAGAAATACTTGCCAATGCTTCCCGGCCGTATCGTTGATGCTCCAATCCTGGTGGTCAGCTGAAACATGGCAAAGAATTCTAGACAAGCAAAAAAAACTACAAGAAGGGCATGTTGATTACGCCAAGCGACTTACAGGTAATATCCGACCCCTTGCCCGTTAGGATAAAGCACGTACTACTCTGCAAGAGTTGGAGGCCATGGATAAGGATGGTTATCAATGGGAAAGACTCACAAGGGCGAGAAAACCTTTCCAACCCAACCGCTTTAAATGCAAACACAAAAACGGTTATTATTAAACTATAGTGATACAGATATTCCGGAAACAGCAGCAGACTACTTTACTTTGCGGACGTCCAGTGCGCCAAACCTGCTGACGGTGCACTTGACTCAAACAAAGAAAACACACCGACACCGCTTATCGCTGGTGATTCTGACATGGATGACTCCCCCTTCTCACTGTAAGAACAACACAGCTCCAGCTGCAGTTCAGAACTTATCAAATGGCTCTCCCCAAAAAACGGGTTTACCTCTTGGACCTCTTTAATGACATTTTGCTCTCAGGCTGCTACACTGAATCTTTTGAATGTTAAACTCGCTAACATTGCTGCATGTTACAAAAGGGTGATGCGTCGCAGATGAAGGTTTGAGTGAATGACATTGTTGTGGAGCAAACATGTAGGGTTTATTAAGTAGGATTACTTCAGATTAATATGGATTACATAATCCTGGACGACAAAAGCAAGAAACCAAAAACACAAAAACACACAGATTTCAGAACTATGTTGAAGATTGGACTAGTTTGGAAATGTTTTTTGTTCTATTGTTTTTTGGGGGTTCTGATGATGGCAATGAGCATTGCAGACAAAAAGGAGCATTGGATTATAAAAAACTTTCATTGGAAAGAACCTGTTTTCAAAATTTAAAAAAGTCAAAAAAAAAGTCAAACTCAAAAAAAAATCAAATTGAAAAGTTAAAAAAAAAGTCAAAAACAAGTCAAAAAAAGTCAAAAAATCAACAGTCAGCAAAAAGTCAAAAAACAAGTCAAACAAAAACTTTGCATAGGTAAACAAGTCAAGGAAAAGCTTGTAACAAGGCAAATTGCAGCCTTTTTGCTTATGGCTTATGGCTTTCAGTCTATTAAAAATTCTAGAACCTTTTTGGTTGTTCAACTTTCACCTTTTCCAGCCCCAAGCCAGCCC